ATTTGAGTAATGCTATATCATAAACACAAATTAATTGGGTCACCAAATTAACATATGTGCTTCAAGTGATAATAGTCTTTTTTCTTAAACCCAAGGTCACGGGTTCAAATCTTATGTATGTTTCTCTATATAACTTTTTATTTTAAATAGAAAAATGAGAGATACATTGCATGAAGGCAAATAAGCTACGTGGCATAACGAGAAATAAGTAAAGATTTTGACCTCAAGTCCAACTTTCACTTAATAATAATTAGCAGTTAGCACACACAATTAAAATAACTAAAAATAAAACAAAACTTTTACTATATATGGTATGTTATGCAAGTGTAAGAGCCTTGTTCTTTAAACTTAAGGTCTAAGGTTTGAGTCATACTGTTGTCAACTATCTAATTTTTTATTATTATTATTATTAATTTCAAATAGGAAAATGAAGACACGTAGCATAAGGAGAAGCCACCAAAATTTGGACACCAAGGTAGTTGTTCACTTTTAATAACTAGCAGTTGGCACATGCGATGTGTGTACAATTCAAGTAAATAAAAATAAAACAAAATGATGAAAAAAAAAATAGTATCATAATATTCGTAAATGCCCGGTCCCTACACCCACAATTCCAAACGTTTGTCAAAAAATCATGGGAGGATTCAACTATATCAAGTTGGGCAGGGTATGTGATTAGGAATAAATGAAAAAGCCTAAGGTTTGTACTAAAAAAGTGAATAGTGAGGTATTTGGGAATGTAGTTGAGGCTTTTAAAGGTTGCTGAAGAGGAGCTCCATGCCATTGATCTAGTGGCAGAATCTAGGAATCTGGAAGAGGAGGAAATAAGGAGGAGAAGAGAAGTTAGAAAGGAGGTCTGGGCACTCAGTAGAAGAGAGGAATGGTTATCGTTACAAAAATCTCAGATGAATTGGAGCATGAAGGGTGATAAAAATACTAGATTCTTCCATGCGGTGGCCATAAGTCGTCAGAATAAGAATTTGCTGAACTCAATTGAAATGAATGGGGAGTTACATGAAAAGCCACAAAGGATAAAGCTTGAGGTGCTTAACTACTTTCAAAGAAGATTTGCTGAAGACTGGAAATCTAGACCCAAATTGCTTGGTGATTTCAAGCTTATTGGAGATGATGAAAATTTTACTGGGTTGATAGCTTCTTTTTCTGAAGATGAAATATGGAGAGCAGTGAGAGAAAATGACGGTAACAAAGCTCCCGGGCCTGATGGCTTCAATATGTTGTGTTTCCAGCAATGTTGGAATGTGTTTAAAGGAGGTATCCTTAATTTTTTAAAGGAGTTTCATTCTAATGGATGCTTGGCTAAAAGAGTTAATAGTTTGTTCATAACACTTCAGAAGAAGGAGAACTCTGGTGTCTGAAGATGAAATATGGAGAGCAGTGAGAGAAAATGATGGTAACAAAGCTCCCAGGCCTGATGGCTTCAATATGTTGTGTTTCCAGCAATGTTGGAATGTGTTTAAAGGAGGTATCCTTAATTTTTTAAAGGAGTTTCATTCTAATGGATGCTTGGCTAAAAGAGTTAATAGTTTGTTCATAACACTTCAGAAGAAGGAGAACTCTGGTGGAGTTGCAGATTATAGGCCAATCAGTCTCATTGGGTCTCTTTATAAGATACTATCTAAAGTTCATGCTAATAGACTTAAGAATGTTTTACCTAGATTTGTAGGTGAAGCTCAATCTGCCTTCATAGGTGGAAGGAACATTTTGGATGGGGTATTGATATCTAATGAGATAATTGATTGGTGGAAGAAAAGAAAGAAGATAGGGATAATTCTTAAACTGGATTTTGAAAAGGCTTATGACACTGTTAATTAGGATTGCCTTTTGGATTTAATGTCCAAGTTTGGTTTCCAAGATAAGTGGATTAGATGGATGAAAGAGTGCTTATCCTCAGCAAGGTTTTCAATCCTTGTTAATGGATCTCCTACTGCAGAGTTTAGTCCAGAGAAGGGTCATAGACAATGGGATCCATTGTCACATTTTCTCTTTAACATTGTGGCTGAAGGTCTGAACATGCTTTTCCAAAGAGCTAGATCTCTGGGTTTCATAAAAGGAGTTGTAATTGGTCATAGGGAAATCAATGTTAGTCATCTTCAATTTGTGGATGATACAATAGTATTCTGTGAGGTAGATAGGCATGGGATTCAAATTATAAAAAGGATCTTGAGGTGCTTTGAAGTGATATCTGGGTTAAAGATTAACTTTCATAAAAGTCATGTGTGTGGAGTTGGGATCAATGAGGATTTTGGGGAGCTTTTTGCAAAACAATTGAACTGCATGTGTCAAAAGCTACCTTTTATGTATCTTGGGCTACTACTGGGTGCAAGTCCAAGGAGAAGAAGTACTTGGTTGCCCGTAATTAACAAATTCAAGGAAAAATTAGCTTCTTGGAAAGGAAGCTTCTATCCTATTGATTAATACTTGTTAAAGCAGTGTTGTCATCTTTACCTATCTATTATCTTTCAATTTTTAAAATGCCTGGGAGTGTAGTAAGATTACTTGACAGGATCCAGGCCAGATTCTTGTGGAGTGGATCAGAGGTAAAAAAGAAGTTGTATTTGGTAAAATGGGAGGTTACAAAGAGCAAAGACATTGGGGGTTTAGGTGTAAGGAAGTTAAGTATGGTTAATGACTGTTTGTGTAATAACCCTGACCTCCGATTAATGCTAATTCATGAGTAATTATGCCTAACAATAATTTAGAAGGAATCTGAGATTAATTTCCATATGTATTGCATTATTTATGTGTTTCTATCTGTTCGGTGTAAAATGATCTGTTCATGTTTCGACTATAAATTGCGAATTGAAAGCCTTATCGGCGCCCGATTCCGAAATTGATTAGTGTTTTAGACTAGTTAGATTTTATGTGATTTTATGGTATGTTTAATTAGAATTTGATTTGGTATGATTAAATTAGATTATAATGTTAAATTACATCAACTTGAATTATTTACCTTATTGCCACTTAGTGGACAAATCTAGGCCATGTTTTGATCTTATATCACTTAGTGCATCAATTTCATCTCCTCTAGAGACCAAAACGTGAGCAAGAGAAAGAGAGTAGGAGGAAGACTTGGTTTCAACAAGATTTGGTTTGGAACTTAGGAGAATTGAAGGATTAGTTACCAATTGAACTTCTAGACTTGGAATTGAAGAACTAACACTACAAGAATTAACACTTTTGCCGACCAAAAAATTGGTCGCTAAAAGCCCATTTTTGGTCGGCAAAAGTTATCCGCGACTAATTTTTTTGGTCGCTACTTTGGTCGCCAATTGAGGGTCGGCAAAAGTAATTCGCGACCAAAATTTTGGTTGGTCGGGAAAAGTTGGATTTGCCGACTAAATTTTTGGTCGCTAAATATATCATTACCGCGACTAATTTATTTAGTCGCTAAAACACTTTGGTCGCGAAATGTAATATTTTCCCGACCAAATATATTTGTCGCCAAAAGCAAAAAATCGGCGACCAACTGTTTTCGTCGCCAAAAATTGAGGAATCGCCAACTAATAATTTAGTCGCCAAAAGGTAAGGAATTGCCGACCAATGATTTTAGTCGCAAAAGTGTAGAATTTGGCGACCAATTATTTAGTCGCCAAATGACATTAAACAATCAATGACTAATTAGTTAGTCGCCAAATCTCTTGTTTTTTTTTTTTTTTTAACAATCAATTTTTGTTTATAAACATTCAATCCAATATTGAACAAAATTCATTCAACCCAACCCAAATATAACATTAAAATTCATCATATTTTCCTGCTCAATCCCAAACTTTACAATCATTCCATTCAAAACATTAATTGAGACAAGTTTTAAATATCCATCCAATAAAAACCAATAAGTAATTGAACAAAAATTAAAAGGAAAATCAATGAAAAAATCCAAAAAAAATTCTAAAATAGGAAGGAATATATATTGTTTTGAAGCATCAGCCTTGTGCTTGATCGTCCTAAAGAACCACCAAGCATGTTCTTTTCATTCTCAAATTCATCCTTGAATGCATTTCATAAAGTCATCCACTGAATAACCTCCTTGTGACAGATAATGAGAGCAGTGAAGTGCTGTAAAATAAAATGAAGTAAGATGATTATAATGAGGTGCAGACTTTCTATTTGAAAACCAATGAGCTGAAAGAGCTCAAAATGGGAAGAAAAGATAAACACAACAACATTAGACAACTTGCCTTTCTCTTCTCATAGAATTCAAGTCTTACGTGGAAGAATTCTTCAAGAACTACAAATCAAAAGAATTAAATTGTAAATAACCTGAAAATTTGATACATGATTAGAGGTTAATCTGAACTGGTGTATAGTACAATCATACTCTGTTCAGGGGTTTCATATTTCTTAATCACGTCTTTTGGGTCGAATAGATGCATGTTGCTTGTGCTGATAGTTGTGGTGAGTTTAAATTTCTTTAGCAAGCCCTCTTGCTTTGCCATGATCAAGTTCTCCTCGGACATAGTAACTTCAAAGTGTACGGTGGTGTCATCGTTGTGCTCTCTGTAATCCTACAACCATTAAAATCTATCGTGAGACTCCAAACACCTCAGAGAGAGAGAGAGAGAGAGAGGTAAGCCATAGAGCTGATTGCTTCCACAATGACTGTGAATAGTATAAAGAATTTTAGTTAGCTTAAATACAGAGAGAGAGAGAGAGAGAGGTAAGCCATACTAGAAGATTCAGCCCCTCTGCTAGTATCAGCACACATTCCATAATCCCATAAAAAGCTCATGATTATTACCAGGGTTGAGCCACACGAGCTGCAAGAAACTTGACATGGATAAGTTTTTAAAATGAATACATTCCACAAATTAATTGAATAAGGATCCCTTAATACGTGTATTACCTCTCCATCGATGGTAATATTGGGAGCCTTAGTGGACGGGGCCTGATCCATCGAGGACCTAATCTGTCCATTAATACTAAAGTAAATTGTGATTTTTATGCTTTCTCATGATGATCCTGCATACAGATAAACAAAAGACATGTAAAACAGAAACTAAAATTTAATCAAAATTTCGAAAGTTGAGTATCAAAATTTCAAAAGGAAAGCCATTCAAACCCCAATGCTCTTAATCATTGAAATCAAACTGCAATAAATCTAAAATCAAACTGCAAACAAAGACAACACACTTCATAATGAATTATTGCCCACAAAATATGAACTATAGAAATCCACGAGAGAGAGAGAGAGAGGGAGAGAGACAGAGAGGGCACAAGTATGATTATTGCATTAGTGAAATGAGGACAGGAAAGCCCAGAGAACAGAGGTTAGCAGCTAGCCTTTTACTGGTTTATCAGCTTCAATCTAATCTATGAACAAATTACCAAAAATAAAAGCTACTATGAACAAGTTAAAGCAGAAGCTAAAGAAAAACATGGGCCACAGCAATTGAATGGTTTTAGCCTATTGCAGTTGACACACTTGCATTACTTTTTTTTTTTTTTTTTTGCTTTGAACTGGGACAGTTTGCACAAGTATTCAAAAATACAGAGAGAGAGAGAGAGAGAGAGAGAGAGAGGTAAGCCATACTAGAAGATAGCAGTTGCTGCTCAAATGAAGTCAGAGTTGACTGTCCACTACTCCATGTACTAATGCAAGGTGTTGGGGCAGCAGAGCAATAAGTGGTAGATTGTACTAGTGGAGCTTCTGTGGTAGCCATTTGCAACTGATTTTAAAGATGAGATGAGTGTGTCCTTCCATGGTCAGAAGTGAATGGGGATAACCATGGAAGATCTGCTGAAGAACTAGTTGTTGCCACATAATTTTTAGAATTGGCATCATCAATAGGTTTCAAATTCCCGGGATTGGAATTTCCAGATGATATTAAGGAAGCAAACAACCCTCCGCTCATACCATAAATTTCACTGTTTGAAGATGAAGGGATGTTGTCTGGTAAAAAGACCATATCACCATTTTCTATCTCTCGAAACAATCTTTTCGTCTGATCCACAAATTCCATACTCTCAGGAATCTGCAGCAGCAAGAAGCAGTACCATCAAAGAAACTAAAATTGTACTATGCACAAAATTAAAATAATAAAAAAATGAAATGTAAAGAAATTTGCACATGAGCTCAAGTTGAAATTGAGGTGTCCACATGAGTTTGATGAGGTGAGACTATCCTCAGGTTCTTTATTACATAATCTCTAAATATCATATTTTTCATGTAGAAGGCAATGTATTTCAAGTATAACAGAGAGGTTACCATAAATCAATTAAGCTAAGGATGAATATAAATGCTTAGTATTGAACATGAGAATAAAAGCGCTGATAACAACAGCTGAAAATCAGAGAACAGCCATGCTGCCGTCAAAATTGAGGTTTCTATTAAACTTCTTCAATGTTAGAGATGAAAACTTTTTAGAAGCACGAAAACTTATGAACATTTACTCATCCTTAAGTAGGACGACAACACATAGATATCGGCTATAATGGCATGTCTATATTCTAATAACAATAGTCTTTCTCGTTATAATTTTGGAGGAAAATAATACATTGAAACAAACCATTTAGCCCATAACAATTGATATGTAAAGAGCACTAAACAAAATAAGGGCAGAATGAGGGTCTTTATGTTTCCTATTTGAAAAAAAAAAATGAAATTAGTGATCCCTGTCAGTAGCATTGCTTGTCATGAATATGAAGTCATATAGCTCAAATGGTTCATGGGGTAACATTGTCTTAACTGTCTCACTCAAAAACTAAAGTTAAAATAAAAACCAAGAATTTAAACAAGTGCAAAACATGCTGGAAGAATTGCATAAAGAAGAAGAAAAAAAATGTCACAAAGGTAAACCAATTGCTAACCTTCTGGGTAGATCCAAACTGTACCACCCCTCGTGGTTCCACAGAGATTAGAACAACTGTCTGCAAAATGAGATTAAACAATCAATTGGTATGGCTTATGCCTTGTATTGAGATGATGACAATCAATTGACTCCCCTGGCCAGCATGTGGGTTGTCTGCCACTTTGGGTGTATTTGTATTCCGATATACCAAAAAACATAAAATAAATCTAAATCTCAACCATATCATAGTACACATGCTAATATTTTTCAAATTGGATATGCTTGAGAGAAGGATAAGGATACCTCTATTCCATAGGAAAATTGGTGATGAATCTCGGAATTATCCTGTAAATGAAAATCCAACTTCCAAATAAGTGGACAAAAACTTGCCAATGTCCTGTTTAACCAACTGATTTCCCTAAGTAAATAATAGTGAAGTTCAACAAAAAAATGATTGCTATTTTAACTTAAAAGATGTTTAATTAATGAAAAAATGGAAGCTACAGCATAGTAATCGACTCGAATGTTTCCCAGACACAAGTAGTTCAAATTCATCATGGTCAAAAGGGTAGTAAACAAAATTTCTAAAGTAGAAACATCATCAATACCTGGATCATATCATGATTATCAATAGAAACTACAGCATCAGAGAACATCCATCGGTGCGTATTAGTAAAAGCTGATTGGCCAACAATTCTAAATAACAAAATAATAACAACATCAGCCTCATAAAAGTTTGCTTTCAGTTTAGACGCGTCACTGAATACAAATTACAATAATTCTAGACACAGAACCAGACCACAGAAAATACTAGTGGAACAATGTGAGGGGAGCAGCATCGGGCTCCACCATCAGATGTGTATGGACATTATTATTTTCTGTGATTGTTACTATGTCAATTATTGATACAAATTGTCTTCAAGATTAAAGTTTTAGAGAAGCTGAGAATTTTTATACAATTCATAAATTTCATAAGAAAAACTATAAACTTCATTGTGCATACCCATTGCCGAGGACGTGGACTTGCAGAAGCATGTTGTCGATAATGACCCCAACATGCTCTTCATAGTAAGCATCTTCCATAGTCAACAATCTGGTGATCATAGCATTTCATTGAACCATTAAGAATAAACACGATCTAAAAGAAACCTAAATCCCTAGAACAACTAAGGTTGTGTTTGGTTTATGGATTTGGAAAGGAAAAAGAAAAAGGGGTGTGAAATGTAATTATATTTAATTCACATTTCACCTACCTTTTTCCTTTTGCTTTCCAAATCCCTACCCAAATCGTTGAACCAATCACAGCATAAAGTAATCTGGAGCTCAACAAATTGACAGCTTTCTTATACTTTCAGGAGTAATCAGAGACCAATGCATTCTCTACAATGCTGAAAGTCATAATATTGAACTTCAGAGAAACTAGGAAAAAGGTTAGATCTCACACAAAATATCGTAATTGTGACTAATGGGATGGAAGGCTCAGGGTATTTATGCATTTAATGACTGGAATCTACTAGATTTAATCTTTTTTTTTCCTTTTTCTTATTTTTTATTTTTATTTTTTGTTGATAATCCATTTAACCTTATTTTTGTAGTTAGCAAATTTGCAAACGTTCATTCTCTAATAAGACGGTGAATGACATAAACAAAAAGGAACCAAAATCCCAAGGCTTTTTCCTTAAACCCACTTGTATGAATCCAAGGAACCCACAAAAACAAAAGAAAACCGAATGACAAAAACAAAGGAGACAAAAAACAAAACAAAAAACAAAAGAAGAAAGAAAGATATAATAATATCCTATGGTTCTGATAAAATCCTAGACATCCATGCCATTGTAACAACAAGGACAAACAAAATCACAGAAATGGAAACTCATAAAAAAACTATATTAAACCCACTTGTAGAAGGTACTAGTATTAGTAGACCATGAAAAGAAAAAGAATCAGAAGAAGAAGAAGACATAAAATTCAAAAACAGGAAAAGGAATATATAAACAGACATGAAAGAGTATGAAGAAAAAAGCACAAGAAAATAACATAAATAAACAATTGAAGTTCAAAATTCTTGAAACCACCATACCCAAAAACCAAAAAAACCCAAAAGAAAAATCACACAAACACACATGCACATATATACATGCATACAAGGAGAGAGAGAGAGAGAGAGAGAGATGAAGCCAAACTTACAAGGAATTTGTGTGATCAAAGCGCCAAAAAACACCATAAGACCATCCGTAATTGCGGCAGAGTCTCTGAAGCGCTTTGTGAACCTGGGAATCACTTTTCTTTCTGAGCATTTTGCTGATCAAATCCAAGAATTAATGCAAGCCCTTCTTCTCATGCACCGAAAAAAACCCGCAAATCAAGCAACAATTGATTCAACCCAGAAAACCAACAAATAATCCACAAATTGATCTTGCAAAAGCGGTCTCTGCAAAAGTGGGTCTGCCTCAAATTGAGAAGCTTCGAGTAGTTGAAGAAGAAAAGCAAAACAGTTGTTGTTGGGTTTGTTTTTCCAGAGTGAATGAACGGTCCCGAGCTCTTCTTATGCTTTCGAACGGTCCCAAAAGGCAGTTTCTACCGTGAGTAAAAAAAGAAAATAGATATATAAAGCGATCCAAGGACAGATGGAGACGATTTAAACACAGAGTATGTCTTTGTAATTTTTTTTCCTGTTTTCCAAGTACAAAACGACGTCGTTTTTTGATAGGCGACCAAATTTTTTTTGTCGCCAAAAAATTTCATTTCCCCCTCCATGTTTCAAATTCCCCTCCCAAACTTTTGGCGACCAAAACACCATATTAGTCGCAGAAAAGGTACTTTCGCCAACAATATTTTTTAGTCGTCAAATCTCAATCAACAGCGACTAAAATATTAGTCGCTAAAAGTACTAATTTGGCGACTAATTTTTTTTGGTCGCCAAAATGTAACCTTCCCCGACCAAATTTGTAGTTGGTCACCAAAAGCATACCAATTTCTGCGACTAACTCATTTTTGGCCGCCAAAATGTGACTTTATGCGACCAACTCATATTTGGTCGCCAAAAATATTGATCATTCGCGACTAATTAATATTTGGTCGCCAAATGTCAATTTTTTGCGACCAAAATTTTTTTGGTCGGCAAAAGTGGTCGGCAAATGTGTAAATTCTTGTAGTGTAAGGTAGGAGGACCATCTCTTTGAACTTGTATTTAAGTTGTATCTTGCATGATTCATGATAGAATAGAAGATTGAAGTCAAGAATTAGTGTAAAATGTTGAATTAGGTAGTATATCATGCATGCATGTGCACACCTTAAAGTTTAAGATTGATTTCCATGAAAATCTTGCATGCAAGCTCATATTTTAGCCTTAGTCCATGAATTCATCGTGAATTTTAGTTTAAAACTTGCATTTGGTTATATTTTGGAGCTTTGGATTCAATGGAACACTTGCTTGTTACATACATATCATGTTCTTGGAATTTATTGTTAAGATTGTGTTTAATTGACTCACCCTTGAGCTTTGATTTTACAAATTGAGCTTTGGAACATCTTATACTTTGAGTTTGGAGGTATTTTCCAGAAAATGAGCCCAAGAGGTTGAGTTTTGAGCTGTTAAATACTTGGTTTGGGCTTGGGAGGCAAATCTGGAAATTTCAGAATTTGGCTTCCTCACTCGAGCGAAGGATTCCACGCTCGAGCGACCATCATTTGTTCTGAGCTCCGCTCGAGCGAAGGAATGGTGGCTCAAGCGTAAATTGCAAGCTCTTAGGTTTTTGGTGCACGCAGACGCACACTCGAGCGAAGAGACCTACGCTCGGGCGAGGAGCTGTGTCTCACGCTCAAGCGAGCATCGCGCGTAAAAAATCAGCAACCAGTACTTTTGCATTTTTACAGACCGCTCGAGCGAAGGAGTCCTCGCTCGAGCGACCCCTCTATTTTGACAAGCTCGCTCGAGCGAAGAAATCCTCGCTTGAGCGAGACCCCTGTTTTCAGCAAGTTTTGCAAAATATTTTCTAAGGCATTCTTGCATCCTCATTCCATCATAGGCATTTCTAGGCCATGTTTAAGACTCTATAGTGAGGATTAAAGGATAGAAACACACTAAGAACTAGTGACGTAAGTTTTGTACAATTAGAACGTGTGTTTCAAGTGTGTGTATCTGTTATATGTTATGTAGGTCACGTGCCGCTCTCTGTCTGACCTATCTGCTCCGTCTGTTTATTTCAAGACCAACTGTGAGTAATAACTTAGTAAAGTTATGTTTAAACTGTATCTACTTTCTGTGTGATAAAATAAGACATGTTTTCCGAAATGATATGTTCTGTACAATGAATGGTTGTTCAATTTCTGATATGTATTCGTGACATCCTTAGCACCATGTGATATCTATCAGCTGTTACCCAGTATCGGAAGTTCCTTTAAGGAACTTATTTATGTCTGCACTCTGTTACCCGTACCGGAGGCCCTGTCACGGGAGCTCAGCTTCTGTTCTGTCCTGTTACCCGGATCCGGAGGTTCCTTTATGGAACTAGTTATTTGTAATCCCACGTGTATGCGTTCTGTTCTGTTAATGCTAATGGATGTATCACGTAAATTTAATCATGACTTATGATTTCTGTTTGTATATGATCTGGGCAAATGGTGAATTTAATACGACTCTGAATTATGTTTTCTGAATCTATACGAACTCATTCATTGAAACCCCTTTTACTCTGTTATTGTTCACTGGGCTTTCGCTCACAGTTTATATTATGTATGTAGGTGAGACGGCACAACGACCAGGGCCAGAGTTGACGGCCTTCTGTTCTAGCCAACCATTGTGCCTCCTGAGGAGGTTCCGAACGAAGCCTAACGCCATGGCTGTTTTTGTACTCATGCTAGTCATTGTATAAGTTTTGTACAGTCGGATCTTGGGAAATACATTACTGTAAATACTTTGTAAATATTGTGTACTTGGACTGGCATGTTATGTATATATATATAACTTTTGAAATTTTCTGTCCCATGTACGTTATCACAGCTCATTGGACCTTGTCTATTTTGTATTATTGCTTCCACAGCCTCTTATTGTTTGCTAATCTGTTCAGAGGCCTTTGGTAATCCACGGATTACTGGCCGGTTACGGTGCTAAACCTACAGGGGCGGGTTTCGGTCGTGATAGTTTGTTAGCTAAATGATGGTGGAGGTGTGGGTGTGAAGACAGGTCATTGTGAAAGTCAATATTAATTAGCAAATACGACAGCACAGATGGAAGATGGTTACCATTTACGGAGAAAAGTGAACAAAGATCGAAACTTTGGGGAGATATTCTCAATACGGCTGTCAGTAACACTCATTTGTACAGTTTTTATGTGGCAAACTGTGAAGTTCGAGTGGGGGACGGAACTAGAATCAGATTTTGGGAAGACCATTGGACTGGTAAAAAATGTTTCAAGGAAGAGCATCCAAGGTTATTTGAATTGTCATTGGAGAAAGAGGTCTCTTTGTCTCATCTGGTTGAAAGGAAAAGGATTACATCAAGATGAATCCTGAAGTTTAGGAGAAGATTGAGGGCTTGGGATGAACTTGAAGTGGAAAGACTCATTGATAAGTTAAATAGAAGTACCCCATGTATGGTAGAGAAAGCTGATGCTTTGGTTTGGAAGGCTTCATCATCTGGTAAGTTTAGTATTGCTATAGCATACAACAAACTTACATTTGGACAGGTTTTTTATGCCACTAAGTTCATTTGGAAGAACATGTCACCACCAAAAGTGAAATTCTTTTGCTAGCTTGTTTGGAAAGGCAGAATTAAATCAAGAGCATATCTTTATAGATTGGGGCTTTTGAATCACAATACTAGGACTGATTGTGTTTTCTGTAGTGGAAAATTAGAATCTTTGAACCATGTTATGTTATTGTGTCCTATTGTTTGGCAACTATGGTCAAATCTACTGAAGTGGTGGGGCATGCAATGGGTTTCACCTCAGAATGTTGAAGGTTTGCTTGATTGGTGGAGAGGGTTCAAATGGAGGAAGGTTGAAGGCATAATCTAGAAGGTTATCCCATTGGCCACTCTCTGGTCTGTTTAGAGGATGAGGAATGAGTGTGTTTTTAATGGGAAACAACCTTCGATGGTGGAGCTGTTGGAACTGATAAAGACAAGAGTTATCTTACGGTTTAAGGCTAATTCAAGAGATTGTTTCTACTCAGTGCATGAGTTGGTGACTAATTTGCAGCATGTTAGGAAGATACTACGCTAGAGGTTGGATTGAGTGCCAGGTGGTGATCTGGTTTACAAGGGTGGAGGGTGTTCACCTGGTGCCCTGCTGCTGAGTGCTATTTGTTACCTTGTGTACTACTGTCTTGCTTACTTGTGGAATTGTTTGCTGGAGTTGATTAGTGTTGTGTCCTCTGTCAGCATAGGAGTTTGTGTGCTTGGCTGTGTGTTTCTGCTGAATTGTTTTTGTTTTGCTTTTATTTCGGGTGTGATTTGTCACTTTGTTAAGGTTGGTTACTCACCAACTCTTGATGGTATACTAGCATATGATTGGGTGGATTTATCGGTGCCAACCTAGTTGGGATTAGTTTGTTTCGTTTTGATACTCTTTGCACTCATCGCTTTCTTTATTGATGCAATACTCTTTTGGTTCATCAATAAAGTTTATCTTTTGCTAATCAAAAAAAAAAAAAATTTAAAAATGTGTGGGGTTCTAGTACTAAAAGCTTCATTCTCCAAGAGTAAGGTCTTGTTAACTTAGCTATCTAATTTTATTTTATTTTTAATAGAAAAAATCACATGCCACATGGCATGAGGACATATTTAGGACACCAAAAGACATGTTCACTTTATATAATAATATAATGGTATAGATAGTGTAGATAATAACTAGCGATGGGTAGATGCAATGTGTGTGCAATAAGAAAAAATATATTTAAAAAAAAAAACTATTTAATATATGTTGTGTGATAGCGAGGGGTAAAAGTCTTCTCCATGAAACCTTTGGTTTAAGGTTAAAGTATTACCCCCTTCCCTTTATATAAGTTTCTTAAATAGAAAAAGGATACTCGGAAAAATGAGAGAAGAAATTTGAGGACACCAATTGACTTGTTCGCTTTATATACTCAAAGTCAAGATTTTAAATCTTGTGTACATTTTTTTTTTTAAAAAAAAAAATAGAAAAATAAGGAGAAGTGACATAAGGAGAAGGCTAGACTTATACAACAATATAGTTAATAATAATAATCTAAATTATATTTTGATTTGATGCAGGATATTGGAGAAATCATACTTGTCATCATATTTAATTCATTTAGTTCATCTTATAGAGTTGTCTATGTGTAGAGCCAATTATACTTAAAAGACTGTGAACCTTATCATGAGCACATAAAAATAAAAATAAAAAACGTAAAAATTGAAAATTTTGATGAAATAATACAATGATTAAAAAAATAATAATAATAATAAAATAAAATAAAACAATGACTTAACAAATTGCATTCATAAATAAGGTTATGGATTAACAAAGAGTTTATATGACAAACCAGAAAATTGTAACATTCTTTCCAAAAATCGAGTCCAATTGTACTTGTGCGCAGTCACTCCACACTTGATACTTGGATTCT